GCTCCATTCCTTTCGCCGAACCTGACCAGTTTCTCTTACGATTATGATTTCTAGCTTGTTTTTTTTAAATTTCTTCTGGCATATGTACACTTCGGCAAGATCTGCATGCCAAACTGAATACAAGACATTTTTTTAGTGTGCTTTCCGACTATTGTTACATGCCCTGAGAGCCTGTCATAATTTTGACCTGTCCCTCGCTTTTGCCATGCGCCGTCACAGGAAACCTGTGGAGCTTGGGTTCCGTCACCGCTAGAACAGTTTAAAGAAACCATATATTTTTAAATTCTATATATTCTATGTATGCTTAAGAGAAACATGTTACTTTTTACAAAGACGAATAAGGAGGGTCCATGTTTCCAGTGAAGTAGGGGGAAGGGGGGGGGGGGGGGCTAAGTCATATAGGTTACTTTAGTATATGAATTTAGTTGCTCAAAAATATAGCGTGTTCTACACTATAAATGACAGTAAACTTTCACTGAAGTCATACCTGTTTGTGCATACATGTAACATTTCATCCATCAAGGCCATATTGCATGATTTATCTGCAATTTCTTCAAATGCACGCCCAATTTCTCTTTCTTTCAAAGTTTTGGTGGATGGTTGGAATATTTAACTCGGCTAAAATGTTGTTAATTTGTTGCTCCCCAATTCCAACATTAATCATTGCTGTAATTGTGTAAAATTCAAATTCAAACTCAATACCAACCAAATTCAAATACCGTAATTACTTCGAGAATAGGAAGTATATATTTATACATACATGTATTTCTTTCTTTCAAATTGATAAATTTTTTTATTATTATTATTGAAAAGAGGTTTCTACTTCGTGCATTTAGTAAACGACATTGCCTACAATATAGGGCATTTACAAATATCCAAAATTAAATATTTCAATATTTTATGATATTTATATTAGTAAATCTAGTTATAAACTTATATACATTGATCATAAAATTATACTTCAATTACCCTATCATTTTATGCACCAAGGAAATGTACAAATATATTGGTAGCAACGTGTATTTTCCATATAAACATGGTAGTAGGCATGCAAGTGCGCGCGCTCTCTCTCTCTCTCTGTATGGAATGCATATATTTTCAGGACATTTTATTGTGAATGTGTTTATATTATACATGATTCCAGGGCTCTAAAATCACAGGAGTCTTTCAAATTTTACGATTTCTTTAGCAAAGAGTAAATGCATTACGCATAAAAGAAAATTATAGGTATGGGTTACCGGTATATCTATATTACACTTAACCGTATATTACATGGTTTTGTATACTCTTTAAATATCGAAAGAAAAAAATTAAAAGGCACATCGACCGCTGTTCATTGATTATTTTTAATAAAGTGTACAACCACTTACCTGTTGCAAGTTTTGTGTTTACATCAAAACATGTAGCAGGACCAGTCTGGTTTGTTGTGTTATGTTTTTTTCACGTATACACTGGGCTGATTTCATTGCACTCCGAGCACTTTATGTAAAAAATGGAGGCTAGACCATATTTCTTCTCACTTACGCACCATTCTAATCTTAAGGGATTGGAGCAATGAACACAAGATCGTAAACCCTCGATCAAAGTATCTAGTTCTATGATTCTTCTTTCCCCATTCCATACACTGGCCTGACTGTCCGACTCCTCCGATGTCTGATTTTCTTCAACACCTTTAACTTCTTTTTTGGTAAAAGTTTTTAAATTCGATAATTTTCTGCTAGTTTTTGCTGATATAATTCTTCCTTTGTGCCGCATTTTCAGGATTTGAATATTAAATCTTTGACAGGTAATGCCATTATGACGTAATTTTATATATGACTGAAAAACCAAGCAATTTCTCGCGGAAATGCAATGTTTATTTATAAAAGAAACTCAAAACCACGGACAAAATGCAATTACCGGGTGTGTGTGTGTGTGTGTCTCAATCTGATTCTTTTTTTGACAAGCAGAAACTAAACAAACTTTAATAGACACAGATAAAATGCAATTACCGGGGGGGGGGGGGGGGGGGGCGGGGGGCTCAATCTGATTTTTTTTTTTTGCCGAGCAAAACTAAATAAAACTTTAATAAACCATCAGATGTCACTTTTAGGAGGCATAGGCAAATTCATAAATGAGATCTAGTATTTTGTTGAATAGTAATTACCTTTTTAAGGGCCAGTCCGCGAGAAAACCATGCAAAACTGTCCAAATCGAAGGTTGTCATATCTTGATGAAATTTGGTGGGTAGTTAGACTTCATAACATGTAATTCAAAAAAAGCAAAAAATTTTCCCATCACCCGACATGGCAGCCGTAGGAAGTGCCACCTTCTTTTTGCACATTTTAGTGCAAATGCACTTAAATAATTCAAGCGTAATGGTAAAAATTACATTTGATTTATTTTACTTAAAATTAAATTTGTATTTCGTTTAAGGTATTTTAAAGTAACATATGACTATGTTCTTCTAAAACTGATATCTATCATAATCAAATATGCAACATATCGAAGGGTAGATAACTCTTAAAAATTGGCACAATGCCAAGTTTGAAAAATTGACAAAATTATTACATATTGAATGGCCAAAATCTTCCAAGACCAAGCTACAAAATTACAATTTTCCATCTTATTATCAAAATATAACTCTAAATATTATCTTTTCAAAATATTAAGCTTGGGATTTCATAATTTATTGAGATATAGAGATTTACAAAAGCCAATTTTCAAAAAAATCTTTGAATTCCAATGGATTACAAAGTCTAATATAGAACTTTAAATTATTAAGAGTCATTCTCTGTAAAAACCAAAGAATACAAGGGGGCCGTTAAAACGAATGTCACCGAAATACGCAATTTTTTGTTTATAGAGTGTACTCAGGTGTCTAACTGAGAAAACCACCTTAGTTTATGTTTCGGGGTGTCCGTTGCCATGGCAACCGGAACTAATGGAAATATGGTCATTTTGACAGGTTCTATTTCGTGAAATATATCATTTTTAACCCCCATATTCTTTAAACACGAAAAATATGAACACTTTCAATTATATAATTTATTTTAAGAATTCCTATATAATTAAAATAATTAGGATTGAAATCTTTAGTCTGAAGTGTTTCAAGCTGATAGGAGGCTAAAAATATCAAATTTCGTGCTTTTTTCTAAATGCAGAAAAACCCATTTTACCCTCTATTTCAATTATATTTATCTTTAAATTCCAAGATAGGTTTTTAAAACTTCTTGTTTATTCAGAATATCTATACTATGGTTTGTCATTTCATTTAGATTTCCAACATGTGTATTTTAGTTAACTCAAGAAATATCAAAATGAAAATGTCCCCTAATCCCGAATTTCCTCAAATACAGATTGGGAAAACTCTGTTATACATTGAAGATGGTATATTTTGTAGAGTTTGTTTTTCTCTTTTGAGGACATTTTTATGTAAAACAATCTTCAGATAGAATTTAATGATAGAAATGAATAAAAATGTATCATTTTAGGAGAGGATGGCAACATAGAAGGGGTTACCATGGCAACCATTCATTGGAATATATTTTTCATTTCACGTTTTTTATCGGTACAAAGTCACATTCATGGCTGAATTTTAACAACACTGAAGTGTATTTCAATCATGCTACTTATCCATTTTAAAAATGAAATGTAGGTAGTGAAGATATAAAAGTGAAACACAGATATTTCAATTTGAACCTCCCCCCTTTTATGAGAAAAAGACGAGGGGGAGGGGGGGGGGGGGGGTTAATACCATGTGTTCAATGACTCAAATTCTATCTTCTTCAGGTATCAACAAATGTATTTGTTACAAATTTACCTTAAAAACAAAAAGAGTCGATGAACAGTTAACTTATTGATTCTATCAAAACGTAAAGCTAAGGTCAAGATTCAAAGTAAACTGAAGAATAGTATGCTTATTCATATTTTCAGGAATTGAAGGATGACATTTAGTCAGGATTTCAGATTACAGACACGGAATGCTCTGAAGTACAAAATGTTTAATCAAAAATGGTCAAAATGGACAAAATAACCAAGTGATAACTCAAAATCAATTTTAAAATTAGATGATATTTATTTTTTGAAGAAAATATGAAAGATGTGGTGAGCAGAGGAAATTCGAGCTAATTTTTTTTTTTACTTTTTTTGCATCAATACTTTTATTTCTTGGAATATGTCATTCATAAAGTAAATTTTCTATGTGTTTTAAAACACCATTTTGCAATTATTATGTATATTAAAGCTCTCGTTTTTTTTTTCTCAAATATTAGTAATTGAATGACATGCAATGAAGAATTTTAAAAATATACATGAACACAAACCATTCACAGTCAACATGTCTCAATAATTTGATTACTGGGCTCATATAATTTTAATACCAGTAGAATGTGGACAAGAAAAGTAAAATGAGGCTATAAATAATAAGAGTTCTTATCATTCAGGTTTTCAAATTGATTACAGGCCTGTAGGAAGCAATTTCAGTGGTTGGGAGGGGGGGGGGGGGCAAGCCATACATTCTCAGTGAAAATTACCCAAAAATTCTTCAAAGCAAAAAAAAAGGTCAAATGGTCATTTACTGAGGGGACAAAAGCATACAGTAGCTATGTTTTTAGAGTATTCTATATATCGGCAAAATTAATGGGGGGGGGGGGGGGCAAATATTGGTCATAGTGTGATTAATTGAGATATTTTCTGTGAAATACTCAGGAGCCACTAGCAGGAAAAGTAGATCACTGACATACTTAAATGAAGATGAATTATTACACAATAATCATAGGTGTACAATACTTAATTTGTGGTTTTTCACTCTTATCATAGACCTAAAGCTGTAGGTCTATGCTTGTATCAGTGAATTTTTTTGTCATCCAAGTAAACGTTATCCTTTAGCCGTAAAAATAATAATAGTCAGTTTTGACATAGATTTCTTTAATTTTTCTGTCAATTATATAAAATTCAACAATTGCAACTGATAATGTGTGACAAAGGATGAAATTGTACATTCAATAAGATTACTTTTATTAGTTTTATACACTTATTACATGCATATTTTATTTAAGAATGTACATTATTATAAGCTTTTAAAAAATGATTTGAAGCATATTGGAAGTAGTGCAGAGTGGAGTCATGTTTCTGAAGTTTGATATGCATGGCCATGGATCACTTTAGGATAAGTGGTCAAAACTTCCCTCAGGTATAATACTGGGCAAGACTTGAATTTTCTTCACATACTGTAAGACTCTTCACTATTTCTTTGATGTTCTTTGGGAAAATAACAGCAGTCAATTTGGTCGTTATATTGTTGTACATGTAGTATGATTTAGCTGACTTAGTGTAGGAGTCCCACTGGTATCCCTCATCTTCTGAAAACTCTCTCCAATTTTCTTGAGATACTCATTCATTTGCTGAATGTCATGACTAAATGTAAAACTCTGGCTTTGGTTCTGTAATAAACAATATAAGTATTTAGATTTAGATAATACAATACTTTAGATTTATATTAAACAATGACTAATGGAACCAAATGGAACATGAAAACTATTACATGTACAATAACAGAGCATACATACAATCATTCTCTCTACACAAGTGCAAAATTTTTTTTTTTTTTTTTTGGATTTTGAGAAAATTATATTGAATAAAGGTGTAAATAATAAGTTTATCTATTTAATTTTCAATATATGGTACATGGCATTTACCCCGAGGAAAAATGTTCAAACACAATACAGTATCAGTGAACAGAAATCATTGCTATTTACTTCTAAGGAGAAGATACATGTAAATAACATTTCAATTAATTTATCTTGTTCTTTTAAAATGTCAAGAATACTTGACTTGATTATAAATTGAGTAATATACTGTAAATTTCTATTTATTGAAATTTAAATCTAAGGGCAGATCACTCCTAACATTCTCTCACTAAACAGTAATTATGTTTTGATAAAAGTTATGAAAAGTGGGTCAAAATTTTAGATAACTTTATGCTGTATCTTTCTTCTATCCTTCAAATGTTATTACCAATGTTTAATTTCTTGAAAGACATAGAAGTCAAGGCCATGGGGTCAAAATTATAGTTCATGGACATTAGAGAGACCTTTCATAGTGAATGTATCTGTGAAATATAAAAGCTGTATCTTCACTCAATCAAAAGTTTTGTTTCTGTGACAGACTGACAGACAAATGAGATTATGTGAAAGTGGTGGACAAGAAAGAAGTCCTATATGTGCTGGGGTTTTTTTCAGGCCAAGTGGGTCTTAGGATCCCTCCAAATTTTTACGAATTCTTGTATTTTATCTCCCCTTGATCTTATTTGAGCCTTTGGCTCAGGTTTGGCTAAGGTGAGCTAAAAAATATATGTACTCTACTTTACTAACCTGAGAAAGGCATTTCATGCTAGTTTCAACACTTTCACAGGAACTCCGAGTCTTGCTAATTTTAACACCTTCGTAGGAAGGATATCTTCAATAATCTGAAATTCAATCTGAATCATTACAAATATGTAGCTCATTTGCATTTTCACAGGTAAGTAAAAATTGATATTTTGTAAAATTGATAGTAGTGTGAAATTGTAAATGTCGAGGTAATATTTTAGGGATAAATATTTTACAAGTTATAAATGTAAAATTTATTTCAATAACTCCATCTCCGTAACTGTGTGAAGAAATCTTTTTATAGTAACAGGTACTTTCCATTAAAACATGATTTAGTAGGCAAATTATTGGGAAAAGACGCTATACACTGTACCTCTTTATAATTTTGTTTTAAAACTTACCTCCTTGTTTGATGTTTTCGAAACACTCCATGAATGATCTAAATATCTTCCTCTTGAAGGCTCTTCCTTCTTCCACACATGGTGCATGCAGCAGCATGCTACAATAAATTATATATTTTTATTAGAACAATTCAATTCCTTACTGGCATTAAAGCACAATTAAAGTGCCGCGCCACAGCATGATACGCCCATCAAAAAATTACAATTTTCTTGAACAGTTTAGAGTGCAAAAAAATCATGTCAACCTTGATTCTAAGATTTCCATGATTTTTTCATTCCTTAAAGTATTTATCCATCCCCTGTGATGTAGGCATTAATTATAATAAATATTACATCATTGATAGATTTCTATGCTGGTTGTGTTAGACCTTGTCAAATGCCCATCATATTAAACAATATCAAATTAGTCTTAACACCTTAATCTATACCAAATTAATTTTGAAAATAAAAGGCAGGCCATCAAATCAAATATGCTATAAACTGACCAGCAGTTCTTCTGTCTAATCCCCAAAGGATACAGATAAGACTGCTTGATCAGAGATGCTCTAAAGAAATGATTGAGACAGCTAGCCTTCCTACATTGAACTCATTAATTAATCTAAAAGTAACTGGATGCTTGTCTACTCATTACTACCAAGAGATGAATGGGTCTGCACTATCTACCACAAAATTTTTTTAAAACATATAATTTATAAAATACTCAAAGATTTTTTTTTGTTGAGATTTAATGTCCGACAGGTTTTAATATGTAATTCATATGGACATGCTGATTCCACCCCACCCCATAAAATTAGTTTTTAAATTAATAATATTATATCAGATTAGTCTATTATGCAATATCAAATTAGTTTTAATTACTTTTCATCAAATTCATTTTAAAACTTAGGCTAGCCAACAAGAGCTATTTTTAATCCAACAGGCTTTAACCCATTTGCCCAATACCCAAGGGATACAGATAACACCATATTTGACTATTACTATTTATGTGCAACACACCTTCTACCCAAGATGCATTAGATGACAAAGTTTGATAATCCTAGGCCTAATAGTATTAAAGTTATGAGCCGGAAACAAAACAGCTAACAGATGGACAGACGGACGGACATGAAGCCTATAACAATATGTCCCGTCTTAAGACGGGCGTATAATAATTATATAGGAATGTGTTGTTAGCCATTCAACCACACATTTGACATATTTTTTTTATTTAGTTTTGTACGTTGACAGGTCTAAATAAACAATAATCATGATAATTGGAGAAACTCTTAAAGGATACATTTGATTAGCATGATCATCTACTCTACGAATAAATATAACATCGTATATAAGAACATTTAGTTACTTACGTATAAATGGTAGCGTTGCACCAGCTTGACCAATAAAATGAAGGATTTCACACTTCTTCAAACCCCTGCTTTCACATTTCACGTGTTCTACTTGGAAGGGAATTCTTAGTACATCTTCTCTTGGGTTTTCAATAAGTAAGTTGGAGCTAAGAAGACTTGGAATTTGACATAGCTTCCTTCTTGACTTCTTTGTATTTAATTTTAAAGAAAAGTCAATATAACTCGTGCACATTCGATAGTCATTCACTGTATTTAGCAAGTGCAACACATGGCATATGACCTACGTAAGACAAACTGATATGAAACTGGTCAATGTTGAAATTCACGAAGTGTTGAATGTCTTCAGAACAAGCATTATCTTCAGAACAAGCATTATCACATCTTCTAAGGAAGATGAACTATATAATCTAGGCACTTTTGTATAAAAATATCAATAAGACACATGGTTTGTAAAAAGGAACTCCAGACGTCATGCTTACATGTACAAACTTCCGCCAGAGTTCGTTTGCTCTTGTAGATGAGGCCTCGACGGGGAGTATGGTCATGCTTACAAATATAGTGTTGTTTTTACCTCCTTTCACTGTTGGAACTAGAGAGTTTTACAAAGGGAGATAATATTAAGTGAAAAGCCAGTTTTTTCTCATTTTTCAAATGCATTTTATTTTTTTAAATCAAAAAACACACACCCAAAATAATTATAAATAAATGATCAAGTATGTTTGCTTTCAAAATATTGTTAATATTTTATAAACCTATCTTGGGATTTTTCATAAAATGGCACTGAAATTTTGGTTATTTAGCCTATTGGTTAAGGGTTAAAAAGGTGAGGAAATTTAAATTTCTTTAAAATAAAAAAGGGTGTTAATGATAAATCAAAATAATTTTTTATCTTTACTTCACACCTTGTTTTCACAATTAAATGCACTTAATCCAACCATAGTGCATTATTTATTTTGAATATTTGATGATAAATTACGAGAAAACTGGTCATTTCAAACATGGGGGTAGCCACAAAATGTGTTAGGGGCCATAACCTGGAGGATAGGTCACATCCCAAATTTTTTAATATACATAATTAATCTCATACACATTCATAATTTTTTCATATATGTTTTATTAAAACCCGTGATATTCGTTTGAACGGCATCCGAGGTCCTTACAGAGAATGACTCTTAATACTTGTTGTTAGATGAGAAAAATGTTACCATTTTCTTTATAACCATAATCAAAATTGAAAAAAAATTATAAAATTGAAAAAAAATATATAATTTCAAAAATTAGCCTAATTTGAGGTTTGGCATTTTGCCAATTGTTTAGAAATGGAATGAATTCATGATAAATTGCTCTGGCTTACTTGTGAATTTTCAACGATCATATTGAATATTCATGTTTCTTTCATTTTTGTAAGATAGTTTCTCTATAATTAAAAAAAATGGAATTTACATGTCTTTAAATTTAGGAGGACTCTATTACATCACGGTTCACCATACATATAAATTATGAGACTTGAACACATTTGAGCCTCTGATAAATTGTTTGCATTCTGTCAATTTTAAATTCACACTCTTGTCAAAATAACAATTCTCAATTACAAAAATACTGACATGAAAATGATGAAATGCTATACAAAATACTCTATAAGGGAGTTTAGCAATTTTTTTTTTCAAATCATAGAACTTAATTTTCATAAATCCATGTAGATACAATATGGTAGAATTCTGAGATATGAGGAACATAAGTAAAATCAAAGAATTGTTTTTATTAAAGTCAGTTTTTTTTTCCCCTTACAATCTTACTAAAATGGATTTTGTAAAATGATATACTGTTAAATCATTTATATTATGTAGTTTGAGGAAAAACATTTGGTTCTTGGGATTCGTTTTATGGCTCTGAGGTGTTTAGTTGTTGCATATTCCAAAATTTACATTTTTAATAAGGGACTCTTTATACCACAACAACAATGACACCCCCCCACCTTTCCAGTTTTAGACTCCAAATCTTTTACTACGTTATTAATTGTGTTAGCCAGTAATTTCAACATACCAATGTTTTCAACATTCACTTAAAAATTGTATTTGTATAAATATTTTTGTAACAAATTTCTACATATATAGTCCAATTACACAAAGGTTTTCATTTCAATCACAGTGCAAGTACTAGCAATAATATTTCACTAAGTTTGCTCTTTGAACACCATAATATGGTACTTTCTTAATCATCTAAAAAAAAAACCCACATATTACATGTATAAAAAATACATGTCAGTGCATGCAGTTTTATATTATACGTGCATGTATATATTGATATGCTAGCATTTTTTGGTTAACACAAATTCTAGATCTTTGACTTGCATTAATGATGGAAAAAATCATAACTATGTTTTAGTATGTGTACATTCTATTGTAAAAGTAAAATTAATTTGTTAGCAATATTTTGGTCGCCCGAGTGGCGCAGTGGTTAAAGCGTCTGCTCTAGAGTCGCTGAGTAAGGAGATGATCCTTACGTCATGGGTTCGAATCCCACTGTGGGACGTGGAGGCCGGTCCTTCGGATGAGACTGTATAATCCAAGGTCCGGTGTCGCAGTAGGTGCTGGCAGGATAAAGATCCCTCACTGCTCAGTGGCCCTGAGTGCCGAATATAGGTCAAAATTTGTAGCCCTTCACTGGCAAGTGGTGGCATCTCCATATGAGTGAAAAATTCTCGAGAGGGACGTTAAACAACAAACAAACAAAAAAAGCAATATTTTGACAATTTTAAGTCACAATATCTTTCATCCTGACAATCACTACGTGTTTTCCATGCACTTTCATTTTTTTTCTCCAAATCCTCATCAAACACCAAATTTGCATAAATTTTACAAAAGAACTCTCTTTAAGTTTGGATCTTAGATTATTTCACAAAATCTGAAAATCACCTCCTGATCTGAGAAGAATTAAAATTCAACCATTCAATTTTCTCTGTTTCAAACATTTCCTTTTCTGTCACATTCAACATATATGCTGTTTAAGACTTCTTTCACTTTAACACTAAAGTCTCTTTTAATAAGAATTTTGATTATCTTAAGGACCTATCCTTCTGATATACATGTATCTGTACTACATAAACACACGCTGCACTACATTGTTACTGGTTATAGGCATACAAAATGTGTATATTTTATAAGTAATGAAAAGTTTTACCAAAATTATATTTATGATCCTATGTACCTACATACATATCGGGATGTATGTACAGCTAATAAATTTCTCAAAGTCAATCCACATACCTTATTTTTTCATTTTGCACATTGAAACTGGTATAACCGTCCTGATAAACAATTACCACTATGAATTGTTTATTATAACATCCATTTTCTTGGGGGAACAACCATTTCAATTTCATTTGGGTGGGGTAAAACTACTGGGTAGATACACATCTGACCTTGAATGGTGCCCCCCCCCCCCCCCAGCCAACTGTTTTCAGTGGATATACATATATACAAAAACAAATTCTCCGATCATCTCCAAAATTAAACTCTGTCTGCAAGGGTATTATTGTCACTATTATGGTATCAAATAAATTACAAAGCATAATACAATTTTATTAATTATAATATTATAAAAAAAAATTTTATATATATATATATATATATATATATATATATATATATATATATATATATATATATGCCATGACAAAATTCGACAGATCCCCCCCCCCCTCCTTTACCATTTGAATGAAATTATCACTCCTTTATCATTTTTATATATTTAACATTCATGCCCATTTTTAATTCTTATCAGTTTGTAGTGCAATTTGCCAAAATGGCATATGTTTTTGGCTGCAATCATGTGTTGTTTGCACAAGCTGAATATTTTAAACGTGTATCATGATACTACATGCTTTGTCCTTGCTTGTTTCAGGATGATCCTTCTATCCACATACATGCACGATGTTTGCTTGTCTCTCCAGTGAACAAAATGTCACCACGATGTTTTAAGGCATATAATAAAGGTTTTAACGAGTAGAGTTTATCACAATTTCCATTTCTACACACCGATATAACATAAAAGGCCTTAGCGCAGGGGCTATTTGCCTGTTCAAGCTGGATTGTTTTTTTTCTTACATTCAAAGATCTTAAAAATGAGTTTTTCCACTTTCATAGTGCACTGATGCTCCACAACAACTCCCTAGGTTCATATAAAATGATCATACATGACCTTCTTTATTCCATGTTGATATGCTTGTCATTTTTACCCAATAATACTAAAGAGTTCCAACAAGGGGAGATAACAATTTAACTCCAGGAAATTAGTTGCAGGGGGCTAAAATAAGCAATAGAAATTTATATGACGTATCTAAATCAGTTATTCATATTTTAAAAAAATATATTTGATTTAGAATCTCCTTTTTTCATTTAGATATTTAAGAAATAGTCCATTCATATGGTAATGGACTGTTATTTAAAATATGTGAAATTATAGTGAAGTATGGTATTTCAAAGTTAATTTTAAACATGTAGATATTATTTCCCAAGCTCAATATTTTAATATGTAGTAGACCTATGACCATTTTAAAGAATACACTTATTTCAATTTAATTTTTTACTTGGTCTTGAGAGAAAATTGCATCTAAAAAGTGGCTAAAAATCATACTCATTGATTTAGGATCTAAAAATAGACCTTTAAAAAATAAAACATTAATTTGAATTACGTTTTTCTTCATTATTTGTATAAATAAGACCATGATTTTGAAAAGAAAACAAAATTTGGAAATAAACCGATGGCAGAAGGTCACTTTTTGAATTCATCAGTATGTATGGTTTTTCCGTATAATTTAGTGTGATTTTCAACAAATATGCAAATGAGCTGTTACTAAAAATAGATGCGAGGTTCGACAATTTTTTTGTAGATATTTTGACTTCAACTTATATGTAGAAAATTTTAAGCCACTAAAAAATCCTATGTTGCAACCTTCCATTTGACGACTTTTTTTAATTTTGCATGGTTTTCTCGCGGACTGGCTCTTAAAAGATATAAAATGAGGTTTCAGAGCTCATTATTTTTTAAAGTAGTCCTCTCCGATTATAATGCACATCTGCTATTGTTCTGCCCATGCGCGAATCACGTGATCCAGGCGGTCACGTGACATGCTCCGTGGCGTTCTGTTCACGGAAGCTAAAAGATTTTTACGAGTCTTATATTTCTTACCATGCAAGTTATATTTTATAACAAGAACAGTCCATCTGTCAGAAATGGCCAAATCTCAGCAATAGGATGGGTTGATAAGGACATCCCTTCCCAGAATTAGCATAGTGATTCATCAAACCCCGAGTCTTCTGTCTCGGGAACGTCGTTTGTCCAATATGGATAAAGTATGGAAGAACTCTTTTTATCATATCTCATATGTTTAAAGTCTAAAGTAAACGATATTTTAGGGATTTGATAATTATATTAATGTTAAGATATTCAACTATTTTTCTAATTGTAACTTGGCGATCTTTCGTAACAAACTGCTCAACTAAGGACATATCTTTTCCCTGGCTTGCTTCCGCTGGGCAACAGAACAAACATCATTTTTAACCATCTCCCTGCCTTCATTAAAACAATCAATCCAATTAATGTTTGAACTTCTGGTAAGTCTTTTGTCTTCATAAACCTTGTACAAATTATCATGCTCTACTGCAAAGGAACTTACAAGATATGTGTTAAACTTTACAGCCATTTGTTGCTCGAGTACGACTGAGTCAACCATTTTTTGTCACAAGTCACCTACATATTGACGTCATTTTCACATTGTGACGTCACAAACACGAAGCAAAACATTTTATAACACCTGCTATTTATAGAATATGTGTATGACTATATGTGTGCCAAATTTCATTCTGATCTGAATTGTGCTTTTGTAAATATAGAGATAGTTCGCGAACTTTTTGATCTCCCCCCTGTACTATTTGATATATTTAAGAATATATAAATGTGGTGTTGTAGTATCCTTCTGTGTTATTGTGCATCACTTCGGTCTTAGTATTTTAAGTGGTTATACATTGCCTCTTGTGCTTTGTTACATTTTGTTACATTTTGAGAACTGTGGTCTTTAAAAATTTTGTCTTGTATTCGATTGTGCACCTAGTGTATTCCAGTGCATTTTGTAATTGTACATGTAGCAAAAGTGTGTCTTGGGTTTTGTTGATACCACTAGGTATTATTTTGGGGGTAAATTAGTATAGTATTTTGTAAGTAAATGTATTCTGCACTAAATGTATGTGGAGGGTACAGGATTTGAGGTTAAGGCAAGCTTGTCATAGTTATATATTTTGTGTACACATATTTACGATAATTGGATAATTATCTTATTTAATTTCATTTTAAGGATATATTTAGATGGTGATTCAATATATTTTGAATTGTATGGTTCAGTTTTTGCTGTGTGCAGGATTTACATTGAGTTGGTTTATAATTTGCGCATTGTGTTTGGTTTGTAGATATTTTTTATTTCATGTTTTATAATGTGGTATTTAATTTAACTACATTGTATATCTATTTACTAGATGTCTATAGTTCTGAAACAGAAGCATTCACTGCTAGGCAAGAATTTGCTACCCCTAGCATTGAGGTTAAAGGATGTGGCCATGGAAATTCAGGATGAGAGGGAATTGGCAAGATTGAAAAAGGAACATCCCCTCACTAGATATTCCTTAGAGGAACTAGAGAATGAATTCAAAAGCCTCACAGGGGAGGAAGCGAAGGAGGTGTTGAGTCTAGTTGGAAAGCAAAGGAATACCGATAACATTCGTCTCCTTGTACATGTTTCTATCTGCATGACAAACGATGTTGGGGCTCCAAAGTCAACGTCAACCCCAATTGCTAGGTCATCTATTTTGGTAGAACCTGGTTCACGCCCCTCGACGTCTCAGTCTGTAGAATCTCGGGAGGGTGAAGTGATTAAAGAATTGAAGGATGGAGGTAAGCTTCATCTATAGCTTAGTGGTATGAGTGAGCATGCAAGTTTCAAGTCATTTAATGGTGGTTGTGTGTTATAGAGAAGAAAAAGGATGACATAGAGATGAGACTGGAGAAAATGGAATCGGCGATGAAAGAAGTGACAGGGAATGCAAATAAAGATAGGTGAACCTGGCATTAAAGAACATTTCTATTTTGGCTAGCAGGCCCAAGTTAACGGCTCCTGCAGTTATGTTGGCTGCTGTTGAATCATTGGTACATATTGCAATTTCATCTGGTCATAAAGAGGCCGATTACTATGCTAAGGCTTTGCAAACTTGTAGGAAATTTGAAAATAATCTTGATATTTTCGGTTTGTGTCAACGATTGTTTGGAACAGCAGACGATAAGAAAATTTCATCTGTTGTGGCAGAATAGTCTAAGAATAAAAAGTATTTAGATGAGAACAAAGAGTCAAAGAAGAATGTAAATTCAATGTCTTCTGTATGTTTCGCAGGTCAGTGATTTTACAGGGCCAATTTGGGGCCGAAATTCGGCCCCGGTCCCAATTGAAAATATTCCTGTATTTTCCCAAAATGTAGTAGAAGTTTTCCCAAAGAAAAACTTACAAAATATGTCATCAAATTCAGTTTGTTTTTTGCATTTTTTTTCAGTGAAGTTCAAGCAGGTTTTGTTGGTGTCTTCATGATTAGATAATTCATACCACTATTGTTCTAGATGCAAGTAATTAGATAATTCATGCCAAGAATATGCTTCATGTTTGTTAAAGTAATACAAAGACAAAAACAAAGCTTTTTGATAATGCTTTTTAAGTGACTGGGTTTTCTGGGGGGATTCCCAATTTAGCCTAATTGACGCTGAAATTCCCAATTCTGAGGGCCCCAGACCCAACGTACTGAAAAAAAAAACACTGCAGGTCTTCAGGGGTCTAATTTTGTACCGGGTAGTCCCAATTTTCCATTTTGGCAATCTCCCATGGGAGCTTGGCAGGGTATGCCTATGTATGGGCCTATGCCGGCTAGGTTTCCTAGGCACAGATCTTATGTTGGAGGTGCATGTTATTATTGTAAACGCCCAGGTCATATGGTGGCTAAGTGCCCAAAACTGATGAAAGAGAAAGATAAGTAGGCTTACAGTGTAAAACGAAGCATGTATTTTTGATATCTGCAATTTAGGAATTTTGTATGTCGCTGTTGAATTGTTCTATAAACTTGATAAGTATATATTTGGCTTCACATTTTAGTAATTTCAACCATCATCCCAAAGGACTCCGATTCCTTAGCAATTATTTCACGCGGGTTGAGGGTTGGATTACCTCTCCTCTTATTTAACCTACAGATAAAACGCCAAAAATTTTGACCAGTTGTACCAAAATGGGAGTTAAATGCAGGTTTTTTTTTAGCGAATTTTGAAGATACATGTATGGTATATCATAGAGATACATGTGCAAGATTTGTAAACATAAACGGAGTGGTAGTTCACCCCCTCATCTCGTGTTATTGTTTCTGCAGAAAATGTAGTTAATAACAATGTATCTGTGGGTATGTGTGAGTTCCCTTTAAGGGACCCTGGTACTTTTGTCCCTGGAAGCATATATGATTGTTTGCAAGAGTGGACAAAATTAAATATTTCTTGTGAAATGATGGATTAGTTAAAAGATGAAGTTAATGTTCAAAAATTTTTAAAACCTTTTAAAGGTAATTTTAAAGGGAAATCATATAATTCAGAAAAGCCCCCTATGATTTATATGCAAAATACTGCTGCTTGTGACAAATTTCAGGAATTTATATATTGTATTAGAATTAACAGCTAGGTTGAGAAATGGGTCTTAACAATGGCTCGGTAAAATTGGGGAGGTGGATCCTCCACATTTGGTTATGCCCCTTACTAGTGAACCCAGTAAGCCTAGGTTATGTCATGATGATTGATTGATTGATTATTATTGTTTAACGCCGAGTCGGCAATATTTCAGCCATACTTTGGCGATCAAGTTAAGTGTATATGCCCATTCATGAAGTTTTAGGTTTCTCTGGCGGCCCCCAGTGAGCCTACTCTTTTTCGAAAACCAGAGAAACGATCTTTTTCGGGCCAAGGGGGTTGTTATCCTTGACACGGGGCACCATTTAACGTCCCATCCGACGGACTCAAAAATTAAAAATATGTAAACAGTTAAAATATATATATACAAAATTCTTAAGTAATATTTTAAATTTTGCGGTAAAAATCAGTTTCATGTAAAAATTCTAAAATTGTATAAACATTTATATTTGCAAAAAGTTCTTGCATCGTTTGCACATTTTTAAAAAGTCTACCTCGAGTAGGAGAAAAATCGGTACATTACAAAAGAATATGACTGATAGTTAACGGACATTCGCATGATATACATTCTGGTTGCAATTCTCTAGTAAGTAAATATTCATGTGTTATTTTTGAATGACCAATACGTATTCTGGAAATAATCACTTTGTCTTGACGTTTGAAGCCGAAATCAGATGATTTGTTGACTTTGTTTTCTATAGCATAAAGCTTACTTGTATCACAAAATTCCAAATAAATTTGCCAGAGTGAATTTACATAAAGTTTAACGAAATACTTCATATCAGTGTATGGTAATTTGAAAAAAGTAACGTCATACTGAAGTGCTGTTTTTGCAGCACCATCAGCTTTGGTGTTTCCAGGGATGCCAATGTGACTTGGAATCCAACAAAAGTCCACTACTTTACCTTGATGAGTAAAATGATAATATTGAATTAATATATCTAAAATGTATGGTTGTTCGATGTTCATATTTTTTATTGATTGTAAAGATTCCTTAACTTATGGATAAGAGATTGTCCTTTTCAGTTTAGAGACACTGCGAGATGTTTCAAGACTAATCCAAAAAGATGGTTACATGACATTCATTGATGATAAGTCTGGCTATGATCATGTGTTGTTAAGTGAGAATTCTAGAACTTACTTTGGCATTCAATTTGGGTGATATTACATGGTGTAAAGAACGCTTCCATTTGGTTTTAAAAGCAGTGCTTATATTTATCATTCTTTGGGAATGATTGCAACGGGATATTGTAGACAGTTGGGTGTTCCAATTTCACAGTACATAGATGACAGGTTGATAGGTGAGTTAGAAACTTCATATTATGATAGGAATCAAGGTTATAGGAAGGTTGAGCTTGCTCTGTATATTGTTTGTCAAGTTTTTACAAGACTAGGTTACACCTTTGGTTTGAAGAAATGTGTTTTCATCCAGTTCAGTGTCTTAAGCATTTAGGATTTATGGTTGATTCCATAAAGCAAGTTTCATTTAAGGATAAAATCAAGAAGTTTTCAGAGTCGAGGGAGTATTTGTTATCTTGCAGGGAACTTGAGGTTAGAAGTTTACAAAAATTCGCAGGAAAGTGTATTTCTTTCTCTTTGGTTAGCCCAGCTCAGGAAATAAAAGCCTTACCAGGTAATGCAGGACATTTATTTTGCCACACAATAGTTAAAACTTTGAGTAATGGGAGAGAAAATATTTTTGCAGTTCAGAATTAGGGGATCTGTTGATTTGTCCAGTTCATGCAGTTGAAGCTTATGTGTGTGCATTGGATTAAACATGAATTCAGGGTATTTATTTAGACCATTAAGAAAGAATAAGTTGTCAGTTTTGCATGGTTGTTTGTCATATTCAGTAGTATATGAAAGATTAAAGTTTTATTTGGAAAAATTGAATATTGATGAAGGGGAAACCCCTCACAGCTTGAGAAGAGGTTGTGCAGTAACCCTTTCACTTTCTGGTTCGATGGATGTTGAGGAAAGCATTATAGGTCACATAGGCTGGTTTTCTAGCCGAAGTCTGGATAGATATAGTGAAATGAGGAACTTAGTTGATGTAGGTTCTGTTTCTTCCAATTTGTTTACACAGGTACCAAGTATTCAAGGAATAGAAAATGTTTATAAAAGTTGTGGTGATTATGATACACTCCCTAAAGCATTTAATTGAACATATATGTATAGTTAGGGTCTATGTGGGCTATATCTTCCCTGCTATTGAACACTATTGAATTGCATTTTTTTTTCTTGTGTGTAAATTTATAGAGATTGTAAATGTGGATTGTACAGTGCAGCAAACGTACAATGAATTGTTTTGATATAATTTGAAATAAAGATGGTGCATTTAATTAAATTTGTATTTTCATTTTAGTATTTACAGGGTTGTGTAAGGATTGGGAAATTAAGTGGTTTATTGAGTATTGTGAAAAGGACCTCTTAATTGGCAAATTAATTGTTTTAGTTCTGTTTAAGCTATATGTTTGTTTGTTTGTATGTTGTTTAACGTCCCTCTCGAGAATTTTTCAATCATATGGAGACGCCACCACTTGTCGGTGGAGAGCTGCAAATTTTGTCCTATACTCGGCACTTACGGCCATTGAGCAGTGAGGGATCTTTTTCGTGCCAGCACCTACTGCGACACGAGACCTCGTTTTATACGGTCTTATCCGAAGGACCGGTCTCCACGTCCCACAGTGGGATTCGAACCGGCGACGTAAGGATCAACTCCTTACTCCGCGACTCTAGAGCAAACGCTCTAACCACTGCGCCAAGCGGGCGACGTTAAAGCTATATGGGTTTGATCCATAATACACTGATTCTTCCCAATCCTTACAAACCCAGTGAGGTTTCATATGGAATTAATTTATATTTCAAGTGAGATCTCGCGAGAGTTGACCAATATTCATTCAGTTCGAACCGGAAAGGAGGGTGTGGTTGATGGTGGTTTGAAAGGCATATTACTAATGTAGCTAATCTGTAGTTGTGTGTTACTGTATCCGGACCTTGCAACATGGGTGATTTAAAAAAAAAAAAAAAAAGAGGGGGGATCTTATTCATTTGTTCCATGAGCATACACTTACTCTTCCCAATCCTTACAAACCCATGGTCAGCTGAGTGAGATTTCATTTGGAATAAATTTATATTACCAGTTGATTTGAAATGCATCAGATATTATCACTGTTTTAATCAGATTGAATTCACATCAAGGACCTGATTCCTTTGGAAGATTTTTTAAGCCATTATGAATTTCTGGTCAAAGAAAATATATCAATGCTCCATAATAAAAGATGACCGACTTAATCAATTCATCTTATTTACCGTCTAACAAAAATGGTGATATGTGTACACCTATACTTAACATTACGTTTAAGTCAAACAATTTGTTCTTAAAAAGCATTTCCTCAAGATGATGTAGTTTCTTTCTCTATTTTCCTGTACTGGACTGTCCCAATGTTTCAGTCATGGCGTCTTCGTCGTCATTTTGCTCGAAACGTTAATGAAACACATTTTTCCTGGGAGGTTAGAGCGCAATCCTTTTTTTAATTATACCTCTTAAATTACCATCACAGAGTCTGAGAATAAATTATGCTATCCAGAAACTGACAACTTGGGAGGATCCTACTGAGCGAAATATATCTAATTAAGAGTTAAGTAGAAAGAGTGTTCATTAAAGGTGAATCGGAATACGCAACTAAAGGGGGAAAATGAAATACTAGTGATAATCTGAGAGACAATCCTTCATCGTAATTATGTGACTACTAACTACAACATGACCTAGAGAGATACATTTTTTTTCTTTTAAAGCATGTTCTTTGTAGAGAACCTCCTACACGGAAAAGTCATAGAACTTTCACAACACAGCCAAAACTTGCCTAACTTTCAATAAACGTACAAAAATCTTCGACTTTATATTGTTGAAAAAAAAACGCACTTGTTCCAGCTATAATATTTAGTGTAATTTCCTATATTTTTGTACAGACCTCTCCTTTTCCAGGATTGAGTTTAAAATTGTCTAAAAATGGCCATTGACAACATAGCCTCTTAAATCATGACACTATTCTGTTTTTGCTTTGATTTTTCTTTTTAGACATGCGTAATTCAGAGTGTCTAATTCAATCTAAAGTAAAGTGGTAAACGAATATGAAGAGGATGTACACGCCTGATACTCCTCGACCCCTCTCATACATGTATCCGTTGTCATCATGAAAATCTATGATCCAGGGATCTATATGGAAGTCTGTTAAGACAAATCAAAACATTTACTACAGTTATTAAAAGTTTTTATTAATAATGGTATATTGCTAGAAAAATC